AAAAGGGGCCCCCACCCGGGGGGGGGGGAGGAAGAGATGCACGATGCAGTCACGGCGCCCTGCGATTCCGGACTCGCCGCTCTCGGTTTCCTCGGTTCTTCTGAGCGTGGCCTCCTTTCAGACGCCCCTGGTTCACGTCCAAAGAGGAAACCTGGAAACCAGACCGGGTGGAGAATAAATAGCTTTGGGGGCTTCTGGCCCATCCCTGGAGGATTTCTGTCTAAAGCTCTCCACAGGCATTTTAAGAGAGGTTCCCAGGATGCCATGTGTTTATTATTATTTTTTAAATGCACATGTTTCTCTCTGGGTTTGTAAAATAGACTATTTAATCTTTATTTATTAACCTGCTGCTAGGGTGGTGTGTGATGTATCTTAATGACTAGCGAGCGCGTACAGGTTGCCGAGCAGCTTCGTGGGGCGGGTTTAGAAGCCAAATTTTATATACATATATGTATAAATATATATAATTGTACAAAGGAACTGGCATTGATTTTGCCCTTCTTCTTTTTAGAGCTAGCACATTGTCCAAGGAAGGTGTTTCTATGTAGGGAATATTAAAAAGAAATAACTTTTTTTTGGGGGGGGGGCTATTCCTGTTTCAGGGGCAGTTTTGTACACGAGTGTTTTGTACGGGGTTTTGCGTGCAACCTTTGTCATAAAAACAGGGAGTTTGGTGTTTACGGAAATGATCCGTACGATGCGGGAAAGCCGGCCGGATCTTGGTGAGGAATCGGGAAACACAAGCGTTGGCGAGGACATCTGCAGACATTTAAGAGACCGAGATAACACGTTTCGCGCGTGGGTGTGTGGAGGGAAAGCTGCTTCGCTCGTGTGTCGTTTTTCATCCGCTCTTGAAAATGTATGGGGGGAAAGGGAGGAAAGTCCTGATCCATATGCAGTCCCTGAGAGAGCAGAGGTCTCGCCCTGCGCAGCCATAGCGGAGATGGAGGGACAGGTGGTCAGCCACCTGGGTTCTCCGGACTCACGCTGGATTGTGGCCCTCTGGAAAAGGACCTACATGCCTGTTCTGCAACAGCTCCCCGTCCTCCACCCGGCTGGTTTGCAACAAAGTCAAACCGCTGGCCCCCCACCCCCCAAAAAACCCCACAAAATTCAAGAAGCCGCTGACTGTATATCCCTTTCCGAAGCATGATGTCTGGGCATGTTTGAAGGAGGAACTTTTTTTTACAATGCTTTGATCTGTTCCGGACACGTATGTGATTTATACTGTGCCAGAAAAGGAGCTGGTGAAATTATGGACCCTGGGGAGCGGGGAAAAGTCTGGGATTTCTCCCCGTCTGGGCCTGCTTGAATGGCAAGCTTCTTTCCTGATGGCACAGTATAAATATATATATAAGAAGCAGTATTGTCTAATAAATCTTAGGGCATCTCCTCCCCACCGCGTGATCCCTCTTTCAAAGCTGTCCTCCCTGTCTCTTCTGTTTCAACCATTAAAGAACCCACTTTGTTCCCGATTCTGGTCCGTCTCCATTTTTTAAGATTCTGGAATTAAACGTGGGATTCTGTTTATGAAGATCTGGAGTTAAGGTGTTTAATAACAGCATTATTACTGAGGTCTTTATTTTATGATATTGTTTTTACTTTTCATTATTACTGAGGTCTTTATGATATTGTTTTTTTACTTTTATACGTTATTTTCAGCCGCCCAGAGTAGACTTCGGTCTAGATGGGCGGGGTATAAATGGAATGAATTAATTAATAAATTAGTCTACACTACGGTGGGCACATTTGGGGGGGGGGAATCCAGAGGCCAGTACCGTTCCACTTCTGGAGTTTATTTGAACCTGTTCCCAATCTCTGTTCTGAGCCCCGAAATTCAAGAAAATATACCCTGACCGTGTGCAGAGTTCCCAATCGCCACTGGCTAAATGGTGCACATTCTGTAAGGTTGGGAAAGCCAAGCCTTTATTTTTAAGACCACAACTCCTGGAATCACACACCTAGGCTTGACAAGGAGTTTGCCATCTGGGGAAAAAAAAGTGTTTCCAAGCTCTTGGCTTGAGAAGCGATGCCAGAAGGTAGCCTTCACAGCGGACTGCGACGGGGGGGGGGGGAATTCTGATCCAAAGACAGATCTGAACATCCCACTCATGATTCTGGGCAGCCCCCCCCCGGCTGTTCTGCCCCCATTCCTCTTGTGGACTCTGACCTTTTATCAATGAGTGAGGAACACCTTGCTTTACCTCTGATGCTGCAACCACCTGGCCTCCTATACGTTTTTGGAAATGTGGATTATAGCAAGTGCCATACATCGCATGACTCTGGCTCCCTCTCGTGGCCTGTTCTGGTAGCAACATCATCAGAAATCTATATTTCCAGGGTTTTTTTGTTTTAATATTTGTAATATTTCCTGGCCGTGGATAAATGAATCAGTGGGTACTGATCCTGTGGATATGGGGATCGTCCTGTATTGCCATTTCCTCTGCCTGCATTCACACCTCCAAGAATGACAGTGATAACACTTTTCCTGCAGTAAACGTGTTTCACTGGAGACAACTGGTAGCTCTTCAGAATAATTAGTGTCTTTGTCCCGGGCGGGGGGGGTCAGGGTGCTTCCTGGCCGAAGCCTTGCTTGATCATGAGGCTTGAAAAAGGGCTATAAAGCAACTGCATTGCTGCTTGAGAAGCACTCGTCTGTCGGTAGAAAACACGGCCGATAAGACCGTTCGAAGACTTAACTTCCCATGAAAAGATGCTAGCAGCATCTTTCTCGGGAAGCAACATCCTAAAATTCCCTTCCAGACAGAGGTGGAAGTTAGCTTTGCCTTTGCAATGGAGTCTACTCACAGTTTGCAAGTAACTAATTACAGATAATGTACTTACAAGTAAATAATTCCTTTTTTCTAAGTTATATACTTAGAAATTATTTATTATTAATTTGACACATTTCCGCCCTGCCTGCCTCCTTAAGAAAAGCCCAAAGCAGTGTGCATCCATCAAAGACAATCTTTCAAGCAAAAAAACAAGCGTACAGATACTAAAAAAAGAACAAACAAATATCACAGTAAAAGGGTGCATTTTGATGGAGAGATCAATTTGAGGGTCATTCCCATATTAGTGACGCTGAACTTCAGAGCCCCAGACAGTGGTTTCATGTAGCTTTAAATAGCACAGGGGACAAAACAGAACCCTGAGGGACACCGTAGGAGGGCGTCCAGGGTGTTGAACCGGTTTTCCACGAGCACCACCCGCTGGGTTCTCTGCTCCGGGAAGGACGAGAGCTGCCGTAAAACAATGCCTCTTGAGTCCCATCCTGGAGGGACGGCCCAGGAGGACACCATGGTCGATGGCATCGAAAGCTGCTGAGAGGTCCAGCAGAATTACCATGGTCGATGGCATCTGTTGAGAGGTCCAGCGGAACCCAAAAAGGATGGACTCCCCCTGTCCAGTTCCTGGTGTAGGTTACATATTTTCTTAGGTTTCAAGGTCAAAAGGTCAAACACTCAAAACCTTCAGCTCTCAGGTTGTCTATGGGGAGCCATGACAGATAACATCTCCCCCGAAAGGATTAAATACCCGTTTGCAAAAGAGCAAGGAATAATATTTTTTTCAACTATCCCAATCAACTTTGAAATGATTGCCATGATTATTTGGCTCTCGCCGGTATTTAACCTTTAAAGGGATAAAGGTTAGCTGTGACGGACTAACACAGACTCAAATGACCAAGGGTGTTTATAAGGTTCTATAGTGCTCTGAAAGCTTTGCTTGTGTGTTATACTTTGACCTTGACATAGGTATTAATAAGGAACACCTAACTGATTCTAAAATACCTTAAAAGAAAGCAACAAGGAGTTGAAGCAGCTTTCGGTGACCATAAAAGAAGGAAGTGTCAAAGTAGAACTGTAGTTGAACTTTAAGAAGAATAGAATCATGACTACTACTACACAACTTTAATGAAGACAACAAAGCCATGGCAATTAAAGATTCTAGCATACTTTGGTTCAACCATAAATCCAAATGGAAACGGCAGCCAATGAATTAGAAGAAGGCTGAGATCCGGGAGGGCAGCAATGAAGGAACTGGAAGAGCCCATCGAGTGTCAGGATGTGTCCCCGGAGACCAAGACCAAGATCATCCACACTCTTGTATTTCTGAACTGCCAGATATGGGTGTGAAAGCTGGACAGTGAAGAATGCTGAAAGGGGGGGAGGGAGGGATTCATTAGAAATGTGCTGGAGGAAAGCTTAGTGGATCACTGGGATGGCGAGAAAGACGAACAAGGGGGTCCCAGAGCAAATCAAGCCAGAACTGTCTCTGGAGGCAAAAATGTTGAAACTGAGGCTGTCCTAGTTTGGGCACATCACGAGAAGGCAGGATTCTCTGGAAAAGACCATCATGCTGGGCAAGGTGGAAAGGCAGCAGGAAAAGAGGAAGACCCGATACGAGATGGATTGATTCCCTAAAGGAAGCCATAGGGTTGCATTTACAAGAGCTGAGCAGGGCTGGTTGAGGACACAGGGCCATTTTGGAGACGGCTCATTCATTGTGATGCGATCAGGTGGAGGCGACTTTATGGCACACAGCAATAACAAATTCTTTAGTTGTAATGTAGGTGAAAATAAAAATGAAGAGTTTTTTTTTAAGGTGGCACTTTAAAGACTTTTGTCCCCTTTAACGCTTGCACAGACTAGCACAGCTACCCCCCCAGGTGGCACTTTAAAAGGTGGCACTTTTTGTCCCCTATAATGCTTGCACAGACTAGCACAGCTACCCCCCCCTTCTGCAACTTGGTTGTTGTGACCAGCACTTCCAAAAAGGTACTTTTAAATAGCATTTTAAAGATATTTTAAAAACATTTGAATTAGAATCCTGTAGATTTTATATCATTCCATCCTCAGTCATTCCTAATGGGCAAGGGAAGTGTTATCTGAACATGGTTTATAAAGACTTAGAAGGCGAGGTATTAGAATTAACCGCGAGAGGGTACCTGGGAGTCTTTCTCTTTCTCTGCCCTGCTGGTAACCACAACACATTAAACAAAAATACACAAGGCAACCACAATCCTCACTTGCACGGCTGGAGCAAATAACAAGCTTTCTGCGGAAGAGCAAGGAGTCACAAACTGAATTCCTTCAACGTGTAACTTCTGGCTCTTCAGGAGGAGAAGCCAGGCAACCTCTGTTTGGGATGCTTCTCTCTCTCTCTCTCTCTCACACACACACACACACACGCACACACACACGCACACGAACACGCACACACTTCCTTCTCTCTCTCAAAACAAGACCCTGAGGCTCCTTGTTAGCCTCTGTAGCGACTCCCATTTCAGAAGTGCTGCGAATCCATTCCGGATTTTGGTCTGCAGTTTACAGAGGCTACTAAAAGGTGGAGTCCCCATCTCGGGCAGAATAAAATCCGAGGTGGATTCACAGGCTCCCCCTGACATGGGAGCCACCAGCTCCTTTGCCCCTCTCTAGGAGAGGCGTGGATTCGGAGAGGCAGCCCTCGTTAGAGAGGCCGAAGCGCATCTCCGTACGAGACTGAACTGGAATGGAGGGGCAAAAAATCAGAGTATCAAAGGGAAATCAGGACGGGCATTGAAATCTCACGTTGACTCACACCGCTTGCAACTTGGATCTTCTCTTCCCCCCCCCCAGCTCTCTCTATTTTCCTGCAATCCAGTGATACTTGGAGGGCTGCCCTTTAACACGTGCACGTGCGCACCCTGGGCAGCTCAAGGGGGGGGGTGTCCTTTCCTTTTCCCTCCCATGGACCTGATTTTCTTTCCTCGGGCCTGGCATTGCCTCCCAACCAGGGAAGAAAGACAGGGGAGTGGATTCAGAGGGGGGGATTTGTCTCGCTGCAAATATTTGCCATTAGGATCCCCCTCTGCTCAGAGGATGGGCAGCCAAGGGGGTCTGAAAAGACAACCCCCAAAACCGCATTTTCTGGGAAACCGTTGGCACAGCCCCTTCTCTAAGAGCAGGGTGGGGTGGGGTGGGGGGGTCTCTTCTTCCCAGCTGTGGACCAGGTCCCTCTTCAGATAAATTATGGGGAGTCCTATTACAGTGGGCGGGAGAGAAAAGTGGGGGACCCCTAAAGCCAACATACATAACATGCACAACCTCAGCATCAAGGTCGTTCATTGAACCTTGCCTTTAAATTGTTGTGTTGATGTTCAAGTGGCCCTGGCTTTGCCTGTTCGGCGAGGGGTGGTGGTGGTCATTTGGACCTCGACTGGGTTTCGATTTTGCATCACTCTGACATAGATGAGGGTGACACAAAATCAAAACCCATAGATAAATGATATAATGTACATTTATTTTCCTGATGGTAGTGCCTCGCGCTGAGTTATGGTTCTATTTGTCATTTGTTCCATTTCATTAATAGACATTGATTAAATATCTAAAAATCTGTGTCTTTGTTTTATCGTGTTGGGAACCCCTTGTAGCCAGAGGTGCGATCTGGAAATCGAACGAACAAACGAATGACCGAATGAATGGACGAATGGACAAATGGACGAATGGACGAATGAACGAATGGAGGATGTGAGCCGCTTTGGCCTATGGAAAGTCTTCCGCTTCCTCTCCGGCCGGGCACAAAAGGGTCCAGGAACGTCCTTCTCTTTTGAAGGAGAATTTTTTTGGGGGGGGGGATAAAAATGAATGAACGGGCCAGAAAAAAGTTCAAGGTGTCTTCTTTGCAGCCAGCTTTGAGTTTGCATTTGAGGTTTAATTTTGTGATTTGTAATCAATCAATAAAATGAAATGCACGAGCAAAATGAATACATAAATGCACCCCCCCTCCCTCCGACCTTCCCACCCAGCGCCACCCCCGGCAGGCAGGCAGGCAGGCAGGCAGTCTCTGCCCCGCGGAGCCTCCAGAGGCGGGACCGGTCCCTCCCGGGTGGGGGCAGGAAGGAGGGAGGGGCGGGGAAAGGGAGGAGGGGCTTCTC